TACCAAATTTATCAGTCACACCGAGAACTCATAATTCCACTGTAGAATGACATTGCTTTTATTATCCCTTTATAAAGACTTAAGCGCTAAGGAAACTTGAGGAGTCACTTTTCTTCTCTCGGTGATTTTATTTATAGACTGTTGGCGGGTTCCCATCGTTGTGGCGCTGAAATCAAGGTTCTTTTGTTGATAACTCCTTTCAGACGTGACTTGAAATTGGATTTTGTCTCGGCGCCCAACATGATCCCCTCGGCCATTTCCAAAGCGGATGCCGGCTTGCTTCCCTCAGCATAACAAGTGATCAGTTTTTTACAGGACTTATTAATTTACGTATGACCTCGGGAAGTTAAAACCCCTGAAACGTTATTGATCTCAGACTCCCTGTTGCGAGAATCATTACTTTTTGTTGAGCCTGATTTTCTCTAGGGACGCAAGCACAAACGAAAGCATCACAACGCTTATTTCACCGTGAAAAAGGCCCGATGCAAGCATGAACACAAACGCAAGAATCAAAATGCGTCCTTTTCGTTGGGCTTGTATCTGTGCTTGTCGACGTTCGTTTTCACTCGGTGTAATTACCTAGCGCTAGAGCTTGCGCACTAATGAAAAGCAGGCTTATGCTCCAAAAGCATAACTGGTTTTTATCATAACTTAAGCCAGTTCTTTCTTTTGAACTGCTGACACCCCTTGATTTGCTTGACCACGGGTAACACAAATTAAAATTAGCAAATCAAACTTGTGAGAAAGGTCTATTTGAATCCTCTGGAGCGAGTCCATTATGACTGAATCGTAAGAACTTTCTTGTGACTGGATCTTTTTGGCCAGTTGTGGGAAGATTAATTGAATGGTTTGGCCCCCGAAGACGTTGCATCCAAGGGCCTTCTCGGTTTTGAAAGTATCATCATTTTTAGAACGGCAAGCCCCTTAGATTGCATCGATTGTGTCTTCATTTTGACGGGTTGAGAGGAGGTCAATCTTTGGACGTCATGGTCAATTAGCCTGATCCGGTAACATGGGCTGATAGATAAAAGAAATTGAATTAGGGGATTCCCCTTCTTTGAAGTGCAGTTTTATTTTTGTTTTCAAGATTTCGAGAATATTCGAGGTTGCGTAAAGTATCGTCAAGTGTACGTTATCAACAAACAAAAGTGGTGGTATTTCGAGCGGAAAAACAACAGTAAAAGAGAAGATGTAGATAAGATGGAAAAACCAGTCCGAAACACCCGATAGAAGGAAGGAAAGAGCTAATAAGAAAGTTTTTGCAGCAAATTGTTAATGGCCAGATTGAATTTGAATCTTGAATTTTATTGTTTCTAAGAACTTATAAGCGTGTTAATTCACCTTGTTTCGCGCTAATTCTTTTTGCGAAGTCCTACGTCATTAGAATTATTTTTTGGAAATCTTTTCATTTTTGCGCTAGTTATCTTTAAGTATCGGATATTTGTTTGGTTGCCTGGTGAAGAGGGCGGTTGCTATCATAACAGTTAGAAAAGCCTTTTAAACTGTTGTACCGATCATTGTGCCATGGTAAGTGAAGAATAAATGATAAAATGATTTTTGAAATTTTCGTTTAAATTCTGAAATTCCTTTTTTTCTTAATATTGTGTGGCCCTTTATCTGGCAAACAGCTTGTGCGAAACATCTCGAGAATCTTTGCTTACGTTGCAGTTAGCCTATATAATACCTGTTAGTTGGTCTTTGCACATTGACCGTAAGACGGGTTTTGGAATCTGCTTCCGAGAGTGAAAGTCACATGTAAACGATGGACTAATTATTCTTCCAACTCAGGAACTTCGATATTGACGAGGTCCCGTAGATCCAGCAACATGCAGTAGCAAGACCGTATTTAAATAAGGTATGTAATCTGTAGCCCTAAGAAGTCAAACGGCATTTGAGTCGATTTTATACTTTGGGTAGGCTTATCTACTTCGATATAACATCACAATTTCTGCTTTTCCAGAGTCATATGATTTGATACGGTGGTATGAAAACTTGATTTAAAAGCTGAGTTTTCCGCTGGTATCTTAAAACAAGTTGGCAGAAGTCATAAGCGCTTAACAGACACCAGTCATAACATCTGAAAAAAAAATACCTCCATCTGGCTAATAGGGAGAGCGAGTTTCTCCGAAATGTAAAGCGATGCGGTCAAATCTCTAAATTATCACGACCAGTAGACAACCAGACACAGCACAGCTTAAAAAGGTTATGTTTGTGTTATTCCGGTAACCAGATTGAACCGGCTCTTATAACTTTTATGTTCTTAGCAGGGGTGTTCAATTGTGATCCTATTGTTCTTTTTGTTTTAAATACTGTTCTCTACGAAAAATTAAGTTAAGTTACCGTGTTGAGCAAAATGTATGACCTTTCAAGTTTTCATCCCAGCCTGAGTATTTATACTGAGCAGAATGAAACAGAGAAATGAATGAGTCGGCGAGACCTCAGAAACTGAAACTGGAAGTCTTGGGAGGTAATTGATTGAATCAAACATGATTTGCAAGTCAAAAGTGCAAACATGCAAAGTACAAAAATCCAATGTACGCATTCTCGTATCGTGAAAGTGAGGTATCATTTATCGTTTTCTTTGAAATTCGCAATTATAGTAAGTTATTGCAAAACTTTTTTAATTACAATGAATGAAGAACTTTCAGCAACGGGCTTGGAATGTAACAGAAAGATTGTTTGTCAGGGCCATTCCACGAAACGTTACGCAAAGGCTCATTTCCTCTTTCCTTTCTGCATGAGATCAGCGGACTGAATGAAACAGATGTGTATGGTGTGAGTTAAAGGCACACTACTCTATGTGAAGTTTTCTAGGCAATAATCTTATCTCGAGGGCAATTTGGAATAGGTAAGCTCGAATTAATTTTTAAAAGATTAATAAAGCTCGCGATCCTCGAAAAATTCATGGGTCATAGCGGAAAAACCATTTTATAAAGAGACATGTGGACTCAAATGCGTTATAAACTCGTTCAGCTTTTTGATTCCCGGCCATTCGTCAATTACCAGATAGTAAGCACTTAGCTTCTCTTGTGAATAGAAACCTAAGTATTTGGCTGGATGCCCAGGGAATGTTTACTTACGTAGCTACATGCTACTATTTTTAGTACATCACGCAATGAATTTCAAATTTGAGCGCGAAAGTCGTTACCTTGTCCTAATACATTACAGGTTCTGGATTCCGCGCCAGCATAACGTACGATGGGTACTTCTGCCTAGCTGATGATTTCTCTATGGTAGATATCAATGATAATTTCCAAAGCTTTGTATTTGTAAAATCTGTAGCTTATTTGCATTGATATTTCACAAATTACATCTTCAAACACATGCTTACATGTATAGGAGTGTAACACATTTGGCACCAATTTACCCTTGTTTTTACATTGGAATATATTCTGTAGACTTGTTATCAAACTTTTTCTGTACGATCTATCTTAATTAGTGAGATGAGTTCTGAGAAAACGGACAAACGAGGTAATAGACTTTTAAAAATCTGCCACAGACACTTACAATAGTGTTAAGTAGTTTTTTCTGACTTACAATTCTGCATATGTTTCCGTGATTGCTTTCGTAAAACGTGTTATGAAAAAGCTAACTTATAAGTGTTTCACAAGCGAGTGATCATTTTCAGTTTTATGTCCGCTTGTGAACGTTGTGGTGTAAAGTAATTCTGTAATTTGCACTTGTGTGGATTTAATGAATATAATCAATGCATCGGCTAAGTGAAAGAAAAATTGCGCCTTTAAGCGATAAAATGCAAACCTGTTAAAAGAAAAATGATCAAGCGCTGAAGCTGTGCTGTTTTAATCGTCTATTTACGAAGTGAAATGCGTGACATGACACTCAACTTTAAGCGTGACTTGAGTGTATTTTACAGGGGGAAACTGTGTATCACTGAAAATGAATTAAACAAGATGTTTTGTACGATTGTCCAAAAAATAGCCCAAGAAATAGTCCATCAGTCCAAGGGTCCAATGATCCAGTCTGTATTTTACCTATGCTGTGGAGGCATAGATTAAATCATAAAATGATTAATTAGCGTAATAATTGTTCACGATCCACAGCCCCTTGATCAGCCTCAGTGACTTGATTAAATATAGACACAATTAGTAAATCGCCTAATTACGTCCGATCTAAGTAGGAATCAGCGAGCTTATGTTCTTTAACTTTATAGTACTCTGTGAGGGGTTCTCTTTCCTTCTCAAACAAGAGCATCTAAAAGCTTTTCGCTTGGTATCTAGTTTTTGTAGGTTATGTCCTGTCAACTAATCCAAATGTAAACAAACTCAGGAGTGTTGAGTGACATGGGGTGACGGAATGTACATAAGAGTAATAATGTTGCTCAGACATCTATATCCATTTCACTCCCACAACCAACGGGCTCTTTACCAACGTCACGTACCAACTGATTAGTGGGAGTCAAATCGTGGACGGGCTCGAACAAAGAAACTTGCCCTTGTGTTTGTTCGTCAAATACGAGTTCAGTCAACTCTAACTCTTTGGTAAAAATATATCGTTTTCCTGGCGGCTTCAACAGAAAAGTATTTCTCCTTCAGGCCTTTTTTTGTTTTTTTTTCATTTAACGGGAGAGACAACTTGACAAAAGGTCACGCGAAATGTTATTGTGAAGTCGTGGATTTGTGAAACGTCCGTTTAAGGACCTCTCAATATTTATCATGGGGGTGGAGGGGGGGAGGGTTGGTTGATTGGCAGTCAATTTTCTAAAGTCCTCCCTCATACTCTGTTTTAACAACTAATCTCTCAATGACTATTCCCTTAATACATATAAAGAAAAAAAATAGCGGACTCTGTCAAGGATCGGTTTACTTCATGTTTTCATTTTTGTCCAACTGTTTTAAATAAGAATGAATGTTATATCATGGTGGAGCAAAGTAATCTGTAGATAAACTTTACAACCATCAATATCATCATCACCGTCATTTAAGTTAAAGGAACTTACTCCAAATGAACCAGCTGTTTTCTCTATCCTAGAAACAAGGAAAATGGATCCCCCAGACAGAATCGAATTCCTTATGTTAACGGTTAACTATTTGGAACAGGGGAACTTAGTTCAAGCGAAAGAATCATTACGAAAGAATCACCAGTATTTCCAAGACTTGTCGCCAAGTGAGTTGTCAAAACCCACTTTACAGGAGATAGAGATAGTAAACAAGGCAGAGAAAATATCGATAGAGAATGTGGCGTGGAGTCTTCGAACTGGAGTAATTTTGATGCCCCAGACGTCTGCAAAGAACAACTTCTTTGTCCGCTTCGCCAATGTAGTTGGTGCTGTTGCTTTAATCACGATTTGTGTTGATATAGCTGAGAAAGTATTTGAGCAGTTAAAAGAGGACATTGAGAATGTTGAAGACGAAGAATCAGTTATTAGCCTTGGAGTTGCCCTTAATAACTTAGGTTGCGTGTATATTAACGAAGGAAGTTTTCAAAACGCAAAAGTTAGTCTTCAAAGAGCTCTTGCGATGTTTGAGGTAGTCAAAACAGGAAAAGAGTGTGTCACTGTCAAGGAGAAAATAGCAACAATAACAAATAACTTACGACTGGTGCATCAGGCTCAGAGGAGCCATGTAGCTGACATGCAATTACAAAACGATCTCCTTTCTAACGTAAGCCGCTTTGCCATACAACCAAGAATCACTGCAGTTGTTGATTACAATACAGCCCTAACCTCTCTGGATAACAGAAATCTTAGAAAAGCTTTGGACGAACTTGAGACTTTAAAAGCATTTTGTGAAACAAAATTACACCAAAACAAGGGACTGTTAACCTGCATTTTGTTAAAAATCCGTTTAGTTTGTTTGAAGCTTCAAGCCTCTAGTGGGACCACGACATTTATTGATGCTAAGATTTCAACCTTGCAAGGGCTGAAGGAACTTGTTGATATTAGTACAAACTTTTCGTTAGACTTCTTAGTCACAATTGTGGAGACGGTGGCCGACATTCACCTTTATCAAGGTAATCTTGACCTTGTCTGTAGCTATTTCTCCTATCTTGTACCGGTTGTTCGTGAAAGATGTGGTGCAGATCACACAACAGTTGCTTCCATTCTGTCAAAACAAGGACTTATTTTCCTCCACTTGGAAAACTTCGCATGTTCTAGGCAATGCTTTACCGATGCATTGGAGATTTTCACCGGAGCTTTTGGTGCTATTCACCCCGATGTTCTCAAATGCAATGCAGGTCTTTCTAGGCTGGAATGGCTCGATGGATGTGAAGAAAAATCTTTAACGCACAGTCGGACAGTTCTGGAAAATGTGGAAAGGATTTGCCAAGTCTCATTTGAGTGTCAATTGAAGCCAAAATTCATTGAATTGTTTTCACAAAGCGGAAGAACACCATCTCCTCATGTCGATCATGAAGAACAACTAAAACTCGAAACTCTGGTTTCTGAGTTTGGTATGGAAATAACAAGGGTTCTCAAGCAGCATCAACCGACTGATCTCGGAGATTGTCCAGGAACACTATCAGAAAGTGATAATGTTGTGGTTTCCTTCATCTGCAAGGAATTATGTGCAAAGCTGAGCTTTAACTGGTTCAAATTTGGTCTTTGTTTGTTTAACCTTGGAGTGGATCAAAGTGTCGCCTTTCTCTTTCTCTCGTGTTCATATGCAAGATTGTTTTACGATCATTTTGATTGTTCTGAAGTCATTTTACTGAAAGTGATTTTTGTTGTGTGTCATCTCAAATCTAAGACGTGTCAAACCTTCCCGAAAGCTCAAGAGAGATTAAAAAATGAATTCGGACGGTTGAAGAACTTCATTGAGGACAAAGCGAAGAGATTTGATAAACCGGAAAGCAAAACTATATTTTTTGACGAAAATACAAACTTGATGATTGCTCTGGCAGTAATCCTTCAGTCGTTTGTAGAAATGGAAATGTTCGAGATGATAGCTGATGTGCATAGTTTATTTTCTTTCCTGTCAAACCAACAGTCTCCGCAGGTAACTCACGTAGTTCTCGTTGAAGAGCTTCGGTTTGCGTTTTTTAGTTCAAACATACAATGTCTTGGCAAACAAGTTATGCATCACCTGATATTTTCGACGCCTCTTGAGATGAACAATCGAAAAATCTCAGACGAAAACGATGCAGATACTCCCCACAACTCTCAAAGTATGGAGATTACAAAATCTTTACATAAAGATGACAACTTTGGAGAAAGGAAATCGAGGCAAATTTTCAAAACTTTGGCACTCAAAACTGATAATATTCAGTGGAAAGGATCTTTCAGATTTCTTGTGGAGTGTCCAATATTTCGTGGAGTTGACATTTCAGTACTAAATAAAATAAATGTGTGGAGTGTAAATGCAGTAGAAGACAGTCTGCCTCACTTGATCTCATGCAGCCATCAGAACATAGAATTGGCAACACAATATTTCCTAGAATTGGAACTCTTAGCCTCTGCGGAAAGCACTCTTTCTTCGATTTCTGGTGATTTTTCTCTTTTGCCACTCGTGCTATCGGCAGCTATGGATGGTTCAGAATCTGAAACGCAATCTCCGATTCTCGTCAACCTAGAGAACACTTGTGAAGGAAGCCTAGCATTTATTTTCCAAGACAAAGTTATTGCGAATTTTCTATTCGGAAAGCTTTTAAAGCAAATTTTAACCAATGAAGACGAGGTTGGTGAGGTTGTGAACGTGGTTATCAAAGACGGCCAACTAGTGTTGAAAATCCAAGGTCCACCCATAGTGCAAATAGTAATACAGTGCCATGAAGACACCATCAAAGTGAAAACCCACTTGATTCACTATTCTCAAAGCCTTCCAAAAGTTGAGATTGTCCGAGAAGAAGTTCCACTATGCAATTGCTCTCTTATTGAGATGGTCATCGCTGACAAAATGGAAAAATGTGCTCGCAGTTTTGGCATTCATTTTGAGACAAAAAGTGATAATGCCTGGTGTACTGCCTCACATCTGACTGGAGACGCAATGGATATTTCAATGAGAGTAAGTGTTTTGAATGTTGTATTCATCACTGTAGGCATGAAACTTGTTTTTCAACCATGATGATGAATCCTTGTTATGCAACGATTCATCTACTAAATGTAAAATCCAGCTTACCAATATAACAAAATCAAAAATATGACCAAGTCAGAGGGAGAATGTTTCTTACCGCCTTTTAAGCTAACTTCAGGGATTTATGCATTACATTGAAGAAATCTAAAATTTTGTCGTCTTTCAAATTTAAGAACGACTTCTTGTTGCCTTAAACCCCATAGAAGGATTAGAAGTTAATTTTTGGCTATTGTTATAGTTTTTGATTCGTTCTTTTCCTAGGATCACCAAACGCTAGAAATGCAGCTTAAAGCCGAACGCCAAGGCCGTATTTCTCCTCTCCCAACCTTGCTTTCGAGACAGTCCCTCCTGTCGGAGTCATCGACTCAAACAGATTCCTTGAGTATTCCCTCAACATGTGATCTTAGTACTCAAACAGAGCTCAGTGACTCTGATGAGTCTGGAAATCTGGTGGAGCCCACATCATCATCCAGTAAATTAAGTAGATCATCATCATTACCTCAAACGTCATCGTCATTGTCATCATCATCTCCATCTTCATCATCGTCATCCTCCGGTGAAGAAGGTCCAGTTGAGGTCTCCAGAAGGTCAAGGTCAGGGCCGGCAGAGAAAGGTAAATTATCAGTGAATTCCGTCCATTCGTGTGGTTTAGAACTTGAAAAACGAGGAAAAGAAGTTCCAAAACGCGAAAATTCGGAGGAAGAAAGATCTAGCATGGCTTATCTCAGTGTTTCAAAGTTCAACGATATTAGCAACGGCGCAGAGGAAGGACAGATAAATCAACCACCACTCATTCCGCCATTAACCTTGAGGGTTCAAACGGAAGGCAAATTACGTGAGAGTAAAGAAAACTTTGAGAAGTTTGTTCAAACCAATGATTGGCTAGGGCATTCAATGGATGATGAAGTTGATGGAGCTATAAAATTTTGCAATCCAAAATTGTCATCCTTGTTATTCCTCAACTGGATCTGCTGAACCACCTTTTCAAGGGGAAGGTGGTCTATCCGACAACCTTCCACGAGTTACTGACCAGGTGGAGCGTCATGGTGGTGCCGCTGCCTCAACCAGCTGGTGCAATGATGTCACGGATGAAAACCGAAGAAAGAGAGAACGTAAAGTCGATTCTAAGTCACTGAAGATTTCTCAAGAGGGCAAAAACAAGAGTAAAGAGCATCTATCAGGAAGAAGTCAAAACACAGCGCCTAGGAAATTTCTAGACATAAAGAGTGGTGGACAAGATTCATTTTTCTCAAACAGGAGCCTAGGTTACGAGAATTTCGAATCGGTTATTAACTGGAACGACAAGGACGCAAAGCCGGAGAGGGTTAGACCACGAGATGATATGCGAAACACCATAGAATCAAATTTCTTTGGTATAAGGCCTTGCTTCCTTGCTCGCCACACAGATGACAGTGGTATTACCTCTCCTATCGATGACATGGGGAATACAGCGGAAAACGCCGATGGAGGGTCTTCCAACACCTTCTCAAGGCATCAAGGGTCATCTTGTTTCACTACTGAGCAAGGATATCAAGTTACTTACTCCTTTCAAGCACCATCGTTTCATTCTGAAAGTTCAAAGGTATCTGCTAACGCACAGGGTCCAAATCCTCATAGCTCCTTCGATCCTACCCCTGCAGTCTGGGGTCAACCGGTGCCTGCTCGTCCTCTACTTTCTCTTCCCTGCAACGGATCGGAGCATCTCCAAACCCTTTCCTGCGATGACCCGCGAATTGTAGTGACACCTCCGCATGCTTTGATCAATGATGACTCGCCGTTAGCGCTAACACCCCTTTTACCACAACAGAGAAAAGTCAAGGATGAACGTACTGTTCCTGAAGTACAAGGAGAGAGAAACTCTGATTTTAAAAAGATGAATGGAAATCCTGCATGTTTACCTAATACCACTTCAATTGCACAAGGCCTGATCTCCCCTGAAATGGAAGTCTCTGCTTTACCACAAGCAGCCATGAACAGAAATCTAGCATGGGAAACAAGAACACCTGTAGATCAGGACACTGCTTATCAAGGGCCACTGGGTGTCGTGAACGAAACTTCGTCTCTCTCAAATGATGATTCCTTAGCTGACCTAGAGCGACGAGTAACCGAAGCCTGTTCCCTTGTCGAAAAAACCTTGAAAATAAGGGAAGTAAAAGAAAAGGCAATGAAGGAAAAAGAACGAAGAAGAAAAGAAGAGCGGGCCAGGAAAGAACAACAAGTACGTGAAAGAAGAGAAAGGGAGGCAAGTGAAACGAGACAAACGGAACGCAGGAATGACAGAGAAGAAGTCAGCAACCCCATGAGTGGTGGAGGAGGAACACCTACGCAAACCTCCGCTGGTGCCGAGGGTCGACAATGGCTCTGTGAACATTATAGGCGGCTCTGTCGTGTCAAGTTCCCATGCTGCGGAAAGTTCTTTCCTTGTCATCGTTGTCATAACAATTCTGGATGTCCAAATGATAATTCCAAAGCAAGAGAGGCGTGTTATGTTGAGTGCTCGGTTTGTAGCCATCAACAAGAGGTATTTAGACATATCATTTATTAGAAATTACATTAATGTGGAAATGGAGCAGTTATATTCAGGCTATATGCCATTTGCTTTTAATGCTTTGTTGTTTTTTAAGATCAACCAGGACGCCCAAACTTGTGCCAGATGTAAAACAAAGTTCTCAGCATATTTCTGCTCTATGTGTAAACACTTCACGGGCACAGACAAAAATCCATATCACTGCACAAAATGTGGTATCTGCCGGTAGGTGAAACGATATTCATGGCGAAATTGCTCGATTTTCGTTTGTTGGATGATACTCTTGTTTTCCAAAAAAGTAAGGGAGTAATTGGCCTGCTTCTATGTCAAGTGTTACCGTATGAATAGAAAGAAAATTCTGGCGCTAGCCTTGGGACGAGAGCAACGCTTATAATAAGAGAGAGACAAGCCCTGATCGATACGCACATGAAACTTACCACTGCCAGTGTTTTCTCCTCCGTCTTTGCGAAATCGTTTTCAAAAGATATATCAAATATCAATTTTTGCTTCCTCATAGGCATCAGGATTCCATTCTGTAGATCGAATCGAGTAGAAATATAGGGTTTTCACTTTGTATAAGCAACTTATTTTCTTTACGAGTCATGTTAAGTTTTGCTCGAGTATTTACCTGCGAAGTGATGTTCCTGTTTTCATTTCAGCATCTTTAAAGACCGCTCCTTCCACTGCGATGTGTGTAACGTCTGTCTGGACAAACGGCTAGAAGGAAGACATTCTTGTCGAGAAAATTCAGGACATGATGAGTGCTGCATCTGTTTGGAAGTAATGACTTACTTTTCGCTCTAACACGGTGTTGCTGAAAAACTTCCGGAGAAGGGGATTTCTCTGTCTTGTTCGTTACAGATCGTTTCTTTTTTTGTCGCGTCTACCTGTTAAATGATTGTCAGTGTTTTTGGATTTCGCTATCAGTTGTACTGTATTATTAATACTTTGTGTTCTGATATCGTTGTGAAACATTACGTTATTTGTTTTGTTCTATCTATAAATTTAGCTCTGCAGGTCAATGTTTATGCTCGATTAATATAAAGCAACTGCACAGTTTTCATTCCTGTTAAGTCTGGATTCCATTAGATAATGTCTCTTCGTATCATTTATACATTGAAACGTTTTCCTTTCTGCTATTGTAAGAGCATGGACATAAAAAAAACTGTCCAGAGACACCCATGACACTGGTTGCACACAAAATCGACTCTGCAGGAGGAAATATTGGCCAACAGCTTTTCCCTTTTGTTGTAATTATAGCCTTGTTATTGACAATGAAGGTGAAATCTAGCAACATACTAAGAGAGCACGACTTTTTGTTAGCTAGGTTATGAGTACAAAAGAAAGCGTTTAATAGAATTATTCGAAAAAAAATGATTGTAAACGTTAAACTGATAGATAATACCTGTTAATACTTTTACTTAATGGAAGTTTGCAACATTTCTTTTCAGGACGCATTCAGCGGTTGTCAAATTCTGCCATGCTCACACAAGGTTCATAGAGAGTGTGCCATTGCAATGATACAGAATGGCGTGTAAGTATGCTCACAAAGTCACGATTTTTTATGAATTAACTAACATAACGAAGAACGCGTTAGTGGTCCCCTCCATTTGACGGTATCTAGTTAAAATTCTGAATCGGATTTGTATGTGGAGTTGTGGTGGAGGCTGTAGGGGGAAATTGCCTGACTCTGTCCATCTCGCGACTTCTGGCTGCGTGAACTGGAGTGTCAAAATCAATCATTGCTTTTTGCGTCTTTTTTCCTTTGAAGGAAATTGTCTTTGTTTCAATTGAATCTCTCATTGGTTTGTGATGTTAACTTCTGACTGGCTGTCGTAATTAGCTGGGTTTTGGTCTAACCGTGACACTCGAGAGAAAATTTCTCTTTTCATGCAGCCTTGGAACAGTTCTGAATCCACAGCAGTGCTGGGTCGATTGTGAGCTTTGCAGTCTCTTTTGGTTTTACCCGTGATTTTACAGTGATCTTGATTTGAATGTTCTCGCGTTGAATTAAAACAAGTTTAAGTTGCATTAACCTGAAATATTCCCTTTACATTTGCAGTCGCAGCTGCCCAATTTGTCGCCATCCTCTATACAGTCAGACGAATGGCAATAAGTGAATGACAACGTCCATCCCAGGCACTTCTATTCTCGCCTTGTTGATAAAATGGAGAGGACCCTGGGAATGGAGCTGAAAGGACAATCTTTTTAAATTTTGATAATTTTAAGGTGTTCAGATTTTGTAGACTTTTAACATAAATTGTATAACAGCGTTATTGCTTAAATTCGATGAAGTTCTCTAATCGTCCGGTTAAGAAGGGGCTACCTATTCAGGGCCTGTCACGCTCAGGTGATCAGAATACACAATCAAATCTTGCTCCGAGTTTAAATTATTCACTTTCTAATCTTTTTTGGTTTGATTGATCGGTACGTTTTTAATTTATTTTGACATTTCAAATTCGAACAAATGTAGTAAGCTTAGGTGCGTTAGGTGCAGGTGATATGTGGGTCTCCAGTTTCAAACTATCAAAACATTATCGCTTGTTGTCAAATATCGACTTTTTTATACTAACAACCCTAAATTTGGAGAGGCAAAAATAAACAACTCGTCGATGATGATCTTAGACTTTGCGTAAAGAACGCCTGATATAAGATTTCCTTAGGCATATGTATCCAGGACATTGAGTTGCTTTGGTAATGAACGGTACACTTGCAAAAAACAAACAAACAAACAAACAAACAACGACAGGAGCTAATATAATCGATTATTCTAAACGTATTACAATACAGTACTACATGTATTCTAGAATGATTCGATTTGTCCCAAGGGCTTGTTTCACGCAAATTTTGGCGCTTTAAGGGTCATATTTTAATCTAAAGAATAGTATAGCGGGTATTTGCTCAAAACCCAGCCCATTCTGTTTTGTTTTCTTACATTTTCTATTCTTTGAATTTCAAAGCCCTTCGTATCGGAAAAACAGCATTTTCGGAACTTTCAATAAACGGGCTCCTGGGCAACGAAAAATACTTAATTTGTAAAATGGAACGTAAAATTTTGCATTTAGTTTTCATATAACTTCGCGTTCAATGGTTGTTACCAGACCACACCTCGCTTGAACGGTGAGCACAACTTGTTAAGAGGCTGCCTCATATCTCCTCAACCTTGCTAGGCAAAACTATCTCGCCAGTTTCGTTTGCTGGGGATCACGGGGTATCTGTTAATCAATATCTTACCTATGATGTACATATCACTAAAACAGCCTCTAGTCGCATGAATAGTTATTACAGATAAGCAGAATTAAACGCCTCTTATACAGGAAAATACTTTTATTACTTATGAATAGCTTTGTATCTAAAATTATAAATGATTTCGAGAATAAACTGAATGCTGTTAGTTAGTTTCTTGTTCATTATTTTGTTTAAAAGCTGTAATCTCAAATACATTTACGAGTGCGAGATGGAAATAGTACTGTGAACTTCAAATTTCAAGTTTTGGATCAGTATAACGACGTTTACAGGAACAGTCAAGAAGTCATGCTTATAATATGTGGACTATGATGTGGGACCTCTGAATTTATGTCTCAATCATTCGAAGCTCTAAACTGTCTCTGAGAGTTAAGAAATAGAAATTTGAGAGCTCATGAGTTAAATCTTCGGGTCAGGCCAAGCTTAGACGCTCTATCACTAAGCTTACTGTAAGCGTAGTCAAGCGCTTATTAAGCTCGTAAATGACACAAATCCCGCAAACTGCAAGGATCAGCAGTGTCGAAAGCCTCGTGTGTGGTGTAAGAAAGATGTTGAGTCCCTTGGAGTCTCTGTGGCTCAGTTGCAGAGCATCAGGGTGCGAAGGTCTGAGGTTTGACTCTTCATGACTCAGCATCTTTGTCCCTTGCTTGTGACCGGATCGAAAAAAAAACCCTTTCTTACGTGTCTATCCAAAATAAATGAACAATAGGAAATTACAGTCACATTTTTTCTAAGATTTACAGGGTATAGAAAACTGCAACAACTCATTGGTTGATGCATATCTTTATTTTATGATATCAATATAAATTTCTTTTGAACCTTTTTCTGGTTGCTTGAGCCGTGCAAACAAAGAAATTGCGATGCACACTGAAGTGTTGAAAACTTAAGATGGAAGATAAACAAGTTTAATGCAGTTAAGAAATACATTTTCAATACCACGTGATCGGTGTGTGGCAAGTTTCACGTCGGCCTTGTTGACTTCTATCAGTTCGCTCACTCTCCTCTGGTGATTTGATAGTCACGCCTTCGCGCTCGAATTAACCTTCCACGCACCATCCTCTTGTATCAGCGCCCACGCAGCCAAGCAGCCCCGCCGGTTGAAAGAGAAAACAACAGAAAAAAAAAATACATCATACTGAAAATATCAAGCTTGTTGGTTAATTTTGGGATGAAAATCAAGCGATTTTATAAAAGCCGTGACTATTACGCTATCGTCTGTGTAAGTAAATAAATGAGTAGGTAAGCAAGCAAATGAGCAAGTAAGTTAGTTGACGTAAAAAGAAAGTGCGTGACTTTTCAGAGGTTTTTGAATCAATTTAACGAGTGAGACCAAAAACTCCTCGGGGATTATTAATAGGGCGTCTGTCTCGCTAAATTCGAATTCTTCGTCGTTGGAGAAAAGCAGAGGGCTAAAGGTGACATTAGGACGAGAAATAGAAGAATTACTTCGGTAACCATTTTTGAAATTAAGAAGTTAGTATATCCAGAACCTGCATATACTAACTAATAATCACTGATAAGAGATAAATAGTTTAAATAATAACAATGATTCAGAAGTGGAGGATGTATGTGTAATGAAAATTAGTGCTGAAATTATTCTTCATAATTGGGTAACAGTTTGATACCGATGATGTGACATATGTTAATTTAAAAGGAAACGTTGTGCCACGTGATTTAGTCGAAGATTTTAACACGTGTGGATCACATTTGAAAGACACCGTAAGATTGGCCGCGTTTTGGGGGACAGTTGAACAGTGCAAACAAAGAAGTTGCGGTGCACATGGCTTCAAACATTCTGAAAACTTTTGATTTCGTTCTTCGTTCCCTGTTCCCTTCCTTTTTTTTTAAACCGCAGGGCCTTGTATCCTTGAATCAACCGAACTGTAACTGGGAAAACAATGGTAATGTTTGTTTGAAAAGTGCAAACAAAGAAATTGCGGTGCGCGAACCATTTCTGAAAAACTTTTGATTTTGTTGTTTATTCCTTACCTTTTTTTTCAAACCACAAGACCTTGTATGAAGTGAACTGCAACTGGGAAAACGATGGAAACTGAAATGAATTCGATGTCTCCTAGAAAACATTCGAAAATTAGTATGAAGCAACGTTGAGCTCTTTTGTAGAGAAACTGAATGCAAATAATAAGAATCAAAAAAAAAAAAAACAATCCGATTATTTTTTTTTAACTTTGGAGAATCACTCATATTGATATACTGAACGTAATTTAGATATAAAAGTGGAGATCCCCAAACTCCTTATATACTCGTGTATCGAGTTCTAGGGAGTTCGAAGCTCCATTCTATTTTGCTGTACGTCATAAAGTCAATATCCGTGGTAGCCTCGAGCAAATTCTTAATATTTGCATTCGGGTTCTCTACTAAAGCGCTGAACATTTCAAAACCTTTGATTGTGTCGAACATTCACCGAAAATTCTTCGAAAATTCCTTGTGTATGCTTCTTTGATAGCGAAAGAAAATGGCCAGTTTTCCCAGGAAATTCGCCGCATCTGTTCTAAACATGCCTGCACTTATCATTGGCTTATCGATTAATACAGAACTAATAAGCTTACTTCCGGAATAGATCTGCGAAAAATCTGCGATTTATACAATCGAAAATTAGTGCATCAGGTAATGTAATGTAACAGGAAAAGGTCTGACCCCAAAGTTGCATTGCGCATAAAAGTGTTAAATTATTATGGCATAATAAGAACAGGTCGGATGCTGAAAAGCAAAAATTTACAACACCATATGATCGATGCGTGGCAAATTTAGCGTTAGGCTTAAAATGACTCAGTGGTGATTAGATTGTCGCGTGTTTGGCGCTCGAATAAACTGGCACGTTCCTCTCCCTTTCGAGCGCCCACGCGGCCAAAGATAGTGCACCGACGCTTCGCGGGTAACGCAAATCAAAATTATCTAATTAAATTTGAGATAAACATGCATTATAAACCTCTGGAGCGAGTCCGTTATAACTGAATTGTAAGAACTTCCTTGCAACTGGATTTTTGTTGCCACTTGATGGAAAAATGATGGAATATTTTGGCTTCTGGAGTCGTTGCATCCAAGGGCCTTCTCTGTTTTAAAAATTGCATCATTTTTAATACGGCAAGCCCCTTTGATTGCTTCGATTGTCTCCCTACTTTGACTTGTTGAGAGGAGGTCAATGTTTGGACGTTAATTAGCCTGATCCGCTAACACGGGCTAATAGACAAAAGAAATCGGGTTAGGGGGTTCCCCTTCTTTCAAATGCGGTTTTACTTTTGTTTTTAAGATTTCAACAATATTCGGGGTTGCA